CTATGTTATGTTTCGTTGGGTCGAATCCGAGAGACTCAAAAAACCCTGTCTTTAGAAAGAAAGAAAAAGAAAAATAAATACTCCTGATATCCATAGTTATTGCATTAACCAATAACTTGCCACTTATCAAGAATTACCGACTTAGCCTTCATCAGACTGGCACATCTGGTTGGCTGATCGGAGGATAAACTAAGCAACGCTAATAGTCCTTAGAAATCTATGCTCGGTTGAGCCATCTCGCTACCGAAGTATTCAGATATAAATTGATTCGGAAAGTAAATATAGTTCTATTAATAGAACTAGACCAAATCTTATGTTTGGTATTTTACTAGGGCCTTTTAATGGCCTTGTCCAAGTATCTGATATGTAAAATGGAAAAGGTATTCATTAATAAAACTGTTAAGAACCATTTAGGAAACTTAAGTTCCTCGTACTATTAAGAGTACGTTTATAGTTTACGTAATGCTTAAGGGTAAGTTTATAACATAGAGTCTAATGTGGAGGCCCCGCTATTACAATAGACTCTGCTGCTTTCTTGTAGGAGGTAGTTTGTTAGTGAAGATGGTAGTGACAGAGAATCTACTGCTGAGATACAAGTTTATGATGTAATTAGGGTGACACTTGAAGAGTCAGGGCATGTCACGAGTAGGGGTGACTGCGGTCGACGAAGTGAGCCTGAGGCATCAGTATGTGGACGGGGCGCGGTCGGGGACGAAAGAACGACTCGGACAGGGGTTTTGGTGCAAGTGTCGGGGCCACAAAGGACAAGGTAAGTGTAGTACGTATAGGTGGTACAGTGAAAATCTGTTTGGATCGAGTTCCGTGCAGGAGTGATATATAGCGGAGGGTTGGGTGCATAGCATTTGCTTGAGCGATCTTAGGAGGGGTCAAACCAGGCTAGTTGACGAAGTAGTCACAAAGGGTGGGCAACGTAGATGGCATTGGATTATCTGTCATGCATATAGCAGGTGTCGTCGGAGGACTAACAGACGGCATGTGTGTAGGGAGATGTAGTGTCGGGCAAGGTGTAGCTGAAGGAGGAAAAGATGCAGGCTCGGATTCCTGTGGAATGTCTGATTGCTGGAGGTCTGACGTGAAAGTAAGCATGAATAATTCTGTATGTATTTACTCTCACGAACCGAAGTTTATTAGGTGTTTATATATTTCTTGATATGTTTACTAGAGTTTTTTTTTGTTCGTGCAAAGTCCCTTATTATGCGTATTCATAGCCTCCTAAATTGAACTGGCTATGGCGTATTTAAATATCTAAAAGAGAGGAAGAGAGAACAATAGGGTAACCGACAATCGTGCTAGGGGAGAAAAATCTAGTTACAAATTTCTATAACCCAAGAGAAGTTGGCTCGCTGGAAATCAATCCGCCTGCGGGGTCAGCCAAGAAGTTTTTGGGTTGTTTTAGTTTTGGGTTCTATTATATTTCAATTTTTCTATAAAAAAATACAAAAAGACGAAGTTGGTAATTTTTTAGGAGGCTATGGAAGAAACCATATGTTTAAAAAACAACAACTTTGTGACACGGGTCAGTGAGTGACAGACTGACAGTGGTGTCATTTCATAATTCATAAATGAATATCACAATGTTGTCATGTAAATTTCTATGACGATGAAGGGGAGCAGCTGAACCTGTGGCATGAGCGCATGAATCTTCTATTTACAAATAGCCGCAAGAAATAAATAAACAAACATGAAACTGTACATATGAATGTATCACTCTATATGTTAAGTTCACTGCAGTGTATAAGAGGGTCCCAGGAAGTCAAGATAGTATACACAACTTCGCAGTGGATAGGTGGTATAGGATATAGGGCATGATGCAGAGTGTCAGAGCAGCTTCATACTCAGTGCGATCGTGTATCACAAATCACACAGCTGCACACTCACGTTCACGACCGCCACACATTGCTATATCGAGTGTATTGTCTATTCTCGGATTCCGGAGCAAACTGAGTCGACAGTATTCGGCCAGATATACGATTGATACAGACTTCCACGACACCAAGCTTGCACAAGTTGATCGCTATCAGAAGACGGTATGTGAGTGGCCGGTTTGATAATGCCTGATGAGGACCCTTGTAAGGGCTATCAAATTGACGCTCGTCTCGCCATCTGCTTTTTACCAACATGAATTATTCATTTAGAATTGAGAGTGTGTAAATTGGTATCACCGTATTACTTGGGGACATTTTTGAGTTCAACGTTAAATTTTGTGTTTGCGCTGCACAAATACTCTGATATTGCAAGCAGGCCCGGACTTCTACATATTTAACTTTGGTGAAGGGCTGTCGTTATAACTTTTCCTTCGCAGCCAAAATATTTGAATGCTTAATTATTTTGTTTTATCGATTGGTACAACTGGGTATTGTAGATAATGTGATTGTTTGCGAGGTATGCATAGACCATTATGGACACACACATACACACAAACAAACAGACAAACAAACACATACACACAAATTTACACACATACAAACATGCATGCACACATATATACACATACACACAGACACACACATACACCACACACACACATACACACAAAAAAACAACCCACACACCCACACACACACCCACACCACCCACCCACGACGATGCACGACGACACACGGAG